CTCCCAAAAGGTGTCTGAGAGGGTGTCAGTTTTCTTGCTGTGGTCCTGATGGTGTGATGAGCCATGAAGGAAATGTCAGCCACATACATGAGGAAAAGAAAAATAATTTCGGGTTTACAACACAAGAGCTTGGGAGTGTCTTGACTTGCCATGATGGTGCCTTGCTGCTGAACAGGGTTTTCACACTTATTTCAGGGCTGTGAGTCAGTGTCTGTCCCTCTGATGGAACTGCTCATCTGAGCTGGAGTTGCAGTGTAAGACCAGCTGTAGCTCAGATATCAGAGTTTTGCCCTGCTCTGGTAGTTCAGTGTTAGGTCTTTGCCCCAAATCTCTCTATTAATGTTGCATTGAGAGTGGAGATGTTGCCCCGGGTGGTTCAGATGGAGAGTCACTAATATGATCAGGGGACTGGAGCTATGGAAACAGGCTGAGGGAGTTGGGGTTGTTCAGCCTGAAGACAAGAAGGCTCCAGAGAAAGCTGAGAGCCCCTTCCAGTGCCTGAAAGGATTCCAAGAGAGCTGGAGAGGGAGTTTGGACAAGGGCATGGAGTGGTGCAGCAAGAGGGAATGGCTTCAGACTGGAAAGAGGGCATGTTGATATTAAGAACAAATTATACCCTGTGAGGGCTGGGGACACTGGAACATGTTGCCCAAAACCACTCTGGATTTCCTATCACTGGAAGTGTTCAAGGCCAGGTGGGACAGGGCTTGAGCAGCCTGGTGTGATGTCCCTGCCCATGGCAGAGGCTTGGACCAAGATGTTCTAAGGTCCCTTCAAACCCAAACCATTCTGTGATTTTGTGATTCTCAGAAGTTTTTTCTCCTTAGGGATGCCCAGTCTCCTGAGGTGTCATGTTGTTATCCCTGAACTTTGTGTTTGCTCCCACCTGTCCCGTGAGTTTTTTGCAGATGTTGAATGAATTTTGTTATGGTTTCTGTTTTCTTTACTTCTGTCATGCCAATGTGATGGCACAGCCATAACACTCATGAGCTCTTCAACAATTTTTCCTGAGAGAACCTCATGGTTGCCTTTTCCTTCTCCAAAATATCTGGAAACCACCATTCCTCTGGTAGTCTCATAGCCATTTATATTAGAGGATGATTGTCAGCCCTGTGATGGAGGAAGCTGCTCTAAAAGCAGCTTTGCTGTGTCTCAGTCAGGGGCAGGTCTGATGGAACAGACGTGGTGGTGGGGCTGGAACCCTGCTCCAAAGCCTGGTAGCAGCTGGAAATTCAGTTTTCCATTAATCCCTTCAGCTGTTGGAGTCTCTTGATGTGACACAGGGAAGGTTTTGCCTGGTGGATTTCAAGAGTGAGGCGAGGGCGGGTGTACATTTTAATTTTAGTTCTGCATGATGGAAGATGCTTGTGAGCCCATCTTATGAATTTCAAAACTCTTCAGGATTGTGCTTATTTTGCTGTAAGAGTGCAGTGGGTTGGGTGGGGAATAAGCAAGCAAAGCAGGAATCTGGGGAGTGGTAAAACCAAACAGACATGAGTTAGTCTGCACAGCCTCTCAGTAACCACCTGCATGTCTTCCTTGACCCTTTTCCTACCCCTAGGAGAAAGGTTTTGACCCTGAAGGATCTTTTCCTCCTCTCTCGTTTGGGTGGGAATTACTGGATTGGAAGGACTCCAGTTGTGCAGTTCAGCCATCTTCCACTGGTCCCATCTGCTCATTCATCCTCCAGGAGAAGCAGGGTGGATGTCATGCCAGCAGGAACTGTCATTAGCTATCTTCATGTCTAGAGCCTGGGTGTGGCAGAGGGGAGGGCATGGAGAATTCCCAAAAAGGAGCTGAGTAATGGAAGGTGATGGCTCCAGCTGGAGCCAAGGCATCTCCACAAAAAGGCTGCTCTTTCTCCTTTCCAATTTCTTTGCAGCTGAGCTTTGACAGCATTAAAACTTCAGGTGACCTCCATGTGAAAGCCTTTGCTTGCTCAAAAAAGGGGAGCTGGTTGCAATCCAGGGATGCCATTTTGGGCTGGGAGGAGGAATGGTGCAGGACCAGGGGTATGGATGCAAGGTGGCTCATCAGCAGGGAGTGAGGAAGCCTGGATTTTTCTCTCCATATCAAAAATGTTGGTACAACTGAGGTGTTCAGGGGAGGATTTTTGTTGATTTGGCTTGATACTGTCCTGGTTTCCACCCCAGAGGCTCTTTAGATGTTTGGAATATTGGGTACCTCACAGTTGTGATGGAGTTTGGGGATATTCCTGGAGAACCCAGGAGAACCCAGCAGGGAAATTCCTCCAGACAGCTGCTGATTGTACATTGTACAAGTGAGATGCAATCTGTGCCTCCACCTCACGAGTTGTGTTGTTGCTATTTTTATTTTTTTTTTTAATAAATGCTGTGTTTGTGCACTTGGATGACATTTCCCATTCAAAAATGGAGGGGAGGAAGGAATGTGTCACCCACACCCAAGGTGCCAGGCACATAATAACTCAGGAGAATTACTCATAAAGCCACAACCTCATTATCCAGCTATGAAGGATTTCTGCCACCAATTTCCTCAGTCTGGCCACAATCCTGAAATTAATCTCACCTACACAGTCAGGAGTGTTTCCTCTCTCATTGCAGGCTGAAATCGTTTTGTCCCATGGTTGAATGCTTCAAGCAAATACAAAAATAGGCAAAACCCTCCCAAAAAGCCCAAAGTGTAATAATTAATCTGGTGCATTTGGGGTGTTAGAAAACGATGTTCCCATCCCAGTTCCGAGCAGATGATGGAGTGCACAGCATAGGTGGAGCAGACTGGGGAAGACTGAAAGTACCAGCTGAGGTTGGTTGAAGTTGAGGTGGTTTCCCCCTTGTAAACATCTCAGGAGAAAGGATAACTTCCTCTTTGGGGAGCAGATGGGATCTGGAATTCAGTGTCCTTGTGGGCACTGGTAGGATGAGCTGAGTTTTGGATCTTCTGAAGTACCTACTGCTTTATTTCTTTTTCCTGCTGGAATTACCTGGATTTTGGCTACTCTGAGTGATATCCTGAAGGAAACAAGGATAGTGAGCCTGTGATGGTTAAAATCCAGACCTAAATGCACCTCTGAAAGAAACAGGGTGAAGGAAAGGTGCTCTGGACAGTCCTGGAGAAAAAACATCCCTATAATCAGGGAAGTGATGGTGTGGCTCAACAAGAAGCTGGAACCAGGCTGTCCTGGGCCAGACAAGGGGACTGCCAGGCTGCACATCACCATGTCCTGCCCCCTCTTCCCAAGCAGCAAGTGAGAGGACAAGAGGAAACAATCTCAGCTTGCACCAGGGAGCTTTAGATTTGATATAAGGAAAAATTTCCTCACTGAAAGGTTTTTCTAGCATTGGAAGAGGCTACCCAGGGACATGGTTGAGTCACCATTCCTAGAGGTTTTTAAAGATGTGTGGATGTGGCACTTGGGGACATGGGTTAGTGTGGCCTTGGCAGCACTTAGTAGTTGGACTAATGGATCTGAAAGGTCTTTTCTAACCTAAATTATTCTGTAACTCTGGGAAGCTGAGAGCATTTCTTCTGTCAGCTGCTGGCTATGACTGGTGGCTTTAAAAAGTTTGTGTTTCGCCTTTTATCTTGCCAAAGGACATAGAAATGCTGCTGGGCATGTCCCAAGTGTAGGGCACGGAAGGATGAGGTGGATTAGCACTCATCTGCTGATGGAGACCACAGCAAACAAGAAGGGAAGGAGTGGGAAGATTGAGCTGAGTTGCCCTGTGGTGATTTCCATAGGTTAAACGGGCAGGTCGTTGGGAATTACATCCTCCAAATGTAACAACTCCATAAGATCAATATTTACAGAACCCCTCACACAATTGGATCCAAATCTTGATTAAACCTGGAGGCTGGTTGTCCCCAGCCTGCTCAGTAACACACACTCACTAGTTGCACAACCTTTTGATGGTTCTCACTCCGAGCAACAAGCTGCTGCTCTGGGAGGGGAAAATCCTCTGTCACAGTGTGTAATTGGCTTGGTGTGTTTGCACAGAGGTCACCAAGGGCTGGGATTGCTGCTCTGCTCCTGTGGGCAGATATAAATCATTGCTGCAATTTTTTCTCTCTGGGGAAATTGCATCGTTTCAATTTTTTTTTTTAATTTCTTTCTTAACAGAGCTCTCTGTAGAGTGCATGCATGTAGGAAGTATATGGCATTTGTATAGGAAGTATTTATAACTGCAAAAGGATTTTTAAAGTGTTCAGCCCACTTTGACCACAGCTGAAGGCAGTGTGTGAAGGGCTTCCTCACTGGTGTTAATTGAGCAAAGCAAGTAGCAGTATTAATTAAAAAAGCCTTTTGTGAGCTCTTGAGAGCTGCCTGGTGCTCGTCTAATGCAGGACCTGCCCCTTGGGGTTCTACCAGTGCTTTTTCCTGGCAGCAAAATCGTCTGCTTTTGTAACCAGGAGGTGTTGTTTCTAGAATAAAAGCTAAAATTGGAAATTCTTGGAAGGTAGGAGTGTGTGTACGTGTTTGAAGGCCAGCAGGAGAGAGAAACAAGCAGCTGCTGAGAAATGCCAAGACCTTGATTCAGCAGGGCTCTCCCTCTTCCCTCAAATCTGACAAACCGAAATGCTTAACTGGATTCTGGCCAGAGTGTTCCTCCCACAGCAGGTTTGGGATCTTAAGGAATACTGGACACTTAAATAAGTGATTCTCCTTTTCCATTAAATGTTTTAATTTGTTATTTATTATTTTTGCAGGTGTTCTGCAAACAGTTACAACCCCCTACTTTTCTACTGTTGCTAATCTGGAAATACTGAAACCTTCTAGGGATTTTAAAGATTCATATCAACTTTCTTTGGAAAAGGAGGTGCTGTTCCCCCTGCTCAGCAGTGATGTTTTGGGGAATCTGCAGCTGTTTTTGTACCTGTTCCTACAGCCCAGCTCAGAGGCTGCAGGATGTGCCTGGATGTCAGAGCTCTTGGTGTGCTGATGGCTGCCATGTCGTTAACCATGACAGTGAAATAGATTTTTTTCCCCCAGTACTTATAAGTTGTCTTGCTTTTTCTTCCAGATTAGAAGAAAGTCTTGTGTGCCCAGGAGAGCAGGACTTGGGAAGCAGCTGGTAAGAGCATCTCTTCAGGAGAGGGTCACCTGAACGTGGAATTATGGGGCTCAGGCAGATGCAAATAAAATTTTTCCCTTGAGAAACTTTTTTTTTTTCCCTGTGACTTTCATTTTATAGGAGTTTCACACCCTTTTGGACTGAGTTGCCAAAAGGGAGAGCTGGTTTATGTATGTTTTTGCTGGTGACCTGGGGAAGGAGTGCTTTATCTTCACCCATATGGAAAGCAACCTTATCCAAGAGTGGTCTCAGAGCTTTGGCCATATTTTCCTGTTCTCCCTGTGTTCTCATTGTGCTGATCCTTTTCTGGTTCCATGTCTTTGATCTCTAAAGCAAACCATGCACAGGAATAAAATAAATATGGACAATGCAGTGCTTTGAAACTTGGGTGCTTAAGGATGCCAGGCAGAATTTGAACCATGGAACAGTCTGGGTTGGAAGCAACTTTTGAAGGTCATCAAATCCAACTCCCCTTCTATGAGCTATGAGATGCCCAATGATGGGAAATCTCCATCTTCATCTGGTTGCTCAGAGCCTCATCCCACCTGACCTTGAATCTTTCCAGGGATGGGGCACCTGCCACCTCTGTGGGCAACATTTTTGTGTCTTACCACAATCTTTTACCTTGCCTGAACCCCTTCCCTCGTTCAGTTTGAAACCATTACCTTAAAACCACAGGCTCTTGGGTTTTCTGCTGTTGGGGTGACCCAAGAGTCTTTTTTTCCCAGCCCGGTGGTCGAAGAAAGAGTCAGGATTCTTTGGCTCTGGTTCACAAGGTTGTTTATTATCTATTGTCTAAATTATTTTCTCTCAGACCTGCAGAGGTCTGATCTGCAGGTCTGTCAAGGGCACACTGCCCGCCCCTGGGCTGGTGTCTACATTTTATGCTACGAGGTACGTATACTTTATTTATCATTATTTTCCAATACCTATTGTCTCAGTTAGACTGTCTACTTCTACTTTAGGCCAATCTAAATGTGCCACCATCACCAAAAAGATGGAGGCTAGGAAGAAGAAGGAAGAAGTATAGGACAATGCTCATGTCCCTCCATCTTGCCTCCTAGACCCTCTATAATAAAATCCCCAAAACTCCATTTTTCACCCGGTGATTAATTCATTATTGCTCTACTTAAATTTCTGTGGCTTGTGATTCTTCATACAAGGTTGGTAATTTGCTCCATGGGTTAAGATCAAAATCCCAAGTGTCTTTGGCTTCCTACCAGGAGCACATGACCTGGGTTCCGACAACAGGCCCTACTAAACAGTCCATCCCCAAATTCCCTGAAATCACTGAGAACTGTATTGTTCTCTAGGTCTTCAGGTTTAACTTCATGTTCCTCATCTTGGAAACTCCTGCCAGGGTGGTAAGGCCTTGTTGGTCTCCTGGGCAGTGTGAAAAGCAAGCAGGGGAGTGCTGGACCATGTCACACTGGTGAGATGTTCATGTGTCCCTTGTGGTCCCCTCCCAGGGAAATTGCTTCTTGCTCCAGCAGCAGATCCAGCTGTGGCAGCTCCATTTGTGGGCAGCATAGCCACAACCAAGTTCCACTGGCTTTTTATGGGAATATTCTGTCCCTCCCACCTGGTTTACCTCCCCTTGGAGGCATAGGGAGATTTATGGGACTCCTCCTTGGTAACTCTGGAGACTGAAACGGATTCATCCCCCACAAGGCTCATGTTTGGGGAGAGAGCAGTGCTTTGTGTAATTTTCCTGTCCCCTGTGGCAGCACTGGTGCTGAATCAGTGTGATGGGTGTCCCCTTTGATACAGGTGATGTTTCCCTAAATACCAGTGCTCATTCCCCTGGATCTCCTCGCAGCAGGACTGAGCACAGAGCTTTAGTGGTGTTACTGCTGTCCTGAATAGTCCCCAAGCACCACATCTGTCTGGAGAGAAAGAACACAAATTGTCCTCCCTCTGGACTGAAAACCAGAGGATTTGGCTTTCAGTACCAGCTAGTCATGTCTTAAAACAAATTTTGTCAAGGGCATCTTTTCTCAGCTTTATGGCTTTCCCTTCCCATCTCTTTACTTTCATGTGCAGTTTCTTCTGTGTGGCAGAAAGGAGCAGGTACATGGGAATGTGACCTCTGGGAGCAACCTGGACCAATGGGTTAGAAAGCTGTAGTCAGCCAGGTGATGGGGCAGATTGTTTCAGCAGTGAGGGGGGAAATAACTGTTGTGGCATCTCTCTGTCTGTGACCAGTCTTGCTCTTGCTGGACCTGGAGTCCCCTGGTGCAGTGCATTGGTGGTGGTGGAGTAAATTGCAAAGATCACCAAGTGTGATGAATGTGAAAGTCCCATGGTGTTTTGGGAGATGCACTGATGGGGTCAGCCAAGCTGGGCTCAGGATCTCTCTCCCTACCTGTCATGGTGGTCCTTGGCTGTATTGACAACATTTTAGCCCCCGTCAATTTGTTGACCTGTCCAGTCCTGTCACTGTCCCTGTGTTGTATTTGTGCTCTTGCACAATTGTTGATTTCCCTCTCCCCACCCCTTTTGTACCAGGGCTTTCCCTCTCTATCTGCTTCATGATGAAAAAAGTGGATGGAAACCCTTTGGTAAGAGTCACACACTATAAGTTGGGTGTGGAATGCTCTTGAAAATCTCACTGTTTGTTAGCCACATGTGGTGCTTTGGGAGCAAAGCTATAGAAGGACATCATTGCAGCAGAGAGTCCAAATCTCTCCCTGCTCAGATTTGTTCTTTTTCACCTCCTTATACCCTGGAAGTCCAGGCAGTGGAGTTGTTTTTTAGTTTTTTCATGCTCCGTGCTGAGTGAGCACTGGTGAAGGCACTTTTGCTGGAAAGGCTTCAAGCACAAGGTGCTCCCTGGCCCCAGCCCTTCATCCACATGACCAAGTGTTTGCCAGAGGCTGCTGAGGTCTGGGGAGGCCACTCCTTGCTAAGCAGACCAGCATGTTTCCCCTGGGGTCTTTGTTCAACTGGCCTGACCTGTGCTTCAGCCATTCAGGTGATGCAAGTAAGAGGTTGACTGGGGCTAAGCTTGTGCCTAGATTTGTGTCCAGCATCAGCTTCACTGCTCGAACTTTTTGTGTGTCCCTGAGTGGTTTTCTGTCTTTGTCTCTGGCTGATCATTGGTGCTTTCAGTTATAGGCACAGTAATTGGACAAGCTGTGTTTCTATCAGTCATAAATGTACATCTGTGTGCACACAACTATCCATAAAATAAACCTTTAAAACAAATGGGAGATGTAACATCCATGTGTTGATGTCCTCATTGTGCCCAGGTCCTTGCTAGATCTCATAGCATTTTCTCCTTGTCCCCATCCTTCTGATCTTTTCAGATGTCAGTGGTGAACCTCAAAATGTTGCTTTTCATGAACTGTTCCATCACATGCTGATTTTGTCTTTAGGGGTGTGAAGGACCTGGGTGCTTTTTTTGTCCAAGGGCACATACAAGGACTCAAAGCTGGTGCTGGGACAAGAGGAAATGGCCTGGAGTAGTGCCAGGGGAGGTTTAGATTTGATATTAGGAATAATTTATTCACCAAAAGAGTTGTCAAGCATTGGAACACGCTGCCCAAGGAAGGGGGATTTAACAGGTGTGCGGATGTGGCACTTGGGGACATGGCATAGTGGTGGCCTGTTCAGTCAATGCTTGGTTAATGGTGGAACTTGACGATGTTAAAGGTCTTTTCCAAACTAAACAATTCCATGATCCTTTGTGGAGTCCTGGTGGACTTGGCTTGCCATTGCTCCCCTCACAGCGAGCTGCTCACCACACAGGTTGTGACACTGCTCTGTGGGATGCCACCGAGTGTGTGTGGAAAGGAAAAAGAGCCATTATGCAGCACTCTCCTGTGGCTCTCCCAGCTGCCAGCATGTGATGTGAGCACTGTGGAGACCCAAAATCCCTTCTCCCTGGATGGTGGGTTATTCTGATAACTACCCATGCCGGCCTTCATCGGGATGTCCTGGCATTCAGTGCACCCCCCTCCGAGCAATGGGCAGTGTCATCAGGCTGCTGGCACATTTTGTGTTTTCTCAAACCACTTTCTTGGCCAGCATTCCAGTGCTGGGGTGGTTTCTGGCCGGAATTCCTCCATGTGGTGGTCCCTGCTCAGTGAGCAGAGCTGGCTTCGCCTCCACAAAGCCTGCGGCTCCCGTTGTGCTGCTTTTCCCCTGCATCTCAATCCTTGCATTCCTGCAAGGGAACAAGATAATCTCTGTGCTGTTTTTGTAGCAAACTCTTCTCAAAGTGACAGCCGTGGGCAAGGCTGTGTGGATGTGCTGTGCTGGGATTGCTGATTCCCTGGGCCGCCATCCTAATCTCCTTAGCACTGAGAGCTGCTGCTCTGAGCTCCCTCGGTTGCCTTCCTTGAGAAATGCTGCCTCCAAGTAACCAGGGATCTGCACAAATTCCCTGGCCTTCCCTGAAGAAGTAGGAAGGTGTTCTCCCACTTGAGCAGCGTGCTTTGTTTTTGGCAGAGCCGAGCACGCAAATAGAGGGAAGGTTTCCATTGTTGGATGCCAGCGCTGCTGTCGGGCTGTGGGAGGTGTCTGCCGTGCACCACATAGGAAGAGGGTTTTTTGTGATTTGGGAGTGGTCCTCAGATGGGGAAAACCTGGGTGATAAGGAAAGATTTCTAATCAGAAGGCTGGAGCACCTCTCCTAGGAAGACAAGGTGGAAGAGTTAGGGCTGTTCTGCCTGGAGAAGAGAAGGCTCCAGGGAGACCTCAGTGCCCCTTCCAGTGCCTAAAGGGGCTCCAGGAGAGCTGGAGAGGGACTTGGGACATGGGATGGAGGGGCAGGACAAAGTGAATGGCTTTAAACTGACAGAATAGAGATCTAGATTAGAGATTAGGAAGAAATTCTTCGCTGTGAGGGTGGTGAGAGCTTGGCACAAGTTGCCTAGAGAAGCTGTGGCTGCTCCATCCCGTAAAGTGTCCAAGACCAGGCTGGATGGGGATTGCAGCAACCTGGATAGTGGAAGGTGTCCCTGCCCATGGCAGGGGGTGGAACTGGTGATCTTTAA